TAAGGTAACTGTAATTATAACCCATCTTAGGGGACTTATAACCCCATGTATAACTACCCATGAACCTCCAAGTAACCTTCTTTACCATGCTATGTGCTGATTGCCCTCATCCTCCAGGCAAGGGCCAACTGGGGATCTGCAAAGGGTTTGGGGCTTGGAATTTTCGGACTATGGCCGCGGGGTTTACATACCCCAAAGAGCCCAATACCCCTTAATTAAGGCATATTCCTTAAGCCAAAATAGTAAGGCCCCGGTGATTTAAGATATAGTCCTTGATCAAGGGGTATTGGGCTCTCTGCGTACCCCAAAGAAACCCCGAACATATGGCCAGTGTTATTGTCGAAGACACCACATCGCAAGGCCTCTTGATTCTCTGAGAAATGCTATTAACTCGACTACGGAACCAACCTGTTGCTTGTGACACCGCAGCCAGCACCCTTTACAGATGAGCTGAGGGGTTAGGGGTGTGGGGTTTTGGCTGCTACTACTGCTACTACTGCTACTACTACTACTACTACTACTACTACTCCTACTACGACTGCAGTCGTAAGGGGAAGCTCCAAATTGAGAACCCTGAAGAAGGCTTCGACAGCCTTGCGAATGGATGCCCCCTGCAGGCGAATGCATCGCACGAGGGTTTCCTGGCAAAGTTAAGGGAAACTGCAGGTGGGGAGTTTAGGGTTCAGGGTTTGGGGTTTAGGGTTTTTTGGGGCTTCTACAAGGCTTCCATAAGGTATATAAACCTTCTATAAGGCTCCTAATAACGGTAACTACCCACCTGAAAATGTCCTAGGCAAAGGATAGGATCTCCCTAAGCCCAGACACGCATAACCCCTAAACCCCTAAACCCTCAAAGCCCCAAAACCCTCATCCCTGAACCAACTAAACCCTAAAATTCCGAAGCCCTAACCAGACGGTTTCGGTTTCGGGGTTTCGGAGTGTTGGGGGTTGGCTAGGACTTGAACGCCTTTGGCTTCAGGAGCTTTGTTCAACACATCTTGTCAAGCCCTAAATAACCCTCTTACCCCTAAACCCTAAACCCTAAGCCCTCAACAACCCTTTTACCTAAAAACAAAACCTTATGAAGCCCTAGGGAAAAACGTTCAAAACTCATAGACACCCTCAGAGAGCCTTCGTACCCGAAACCCTAAACGCTGCACGCGATCTCCAGGAGAAATCCGGCAGACTTTAGAAAAGTCCTCATAAATCCTTACGTGGAGGTTCATGAGTAGTTATAAGTGGAGTTACAAGAAGGGCAACTGTTGCTATAACCCATCTTGGGTTACCTATAATCCCACTTGTAACTGCCCATGAACCTCCATGTATTCGAAACCTCCCCCCTAAACTCCAAAACCTTACATCCCCTAAACCCGAAACCCTAAACCCCTAAACCTTAAACTCCCTAAACCCTGAACCCCAAAACCCAATGATCTCCAAGAGAAGCCCTGCACGAGACGGTGCCTTGTGAGCACAGATCTCCGTGGTGCGCTTGTCCGCAATGCCCAGAGCCCCGCCCTCACCGACCATCATCCCTGGCATGGAGGCTCTATACATGAGGTGAGCTTTAAGGCTTTAAGGGTTTCTGTCTTAAGGTTTTAGAGGTCTTGTGCACAGGCTCTATGCATGAGGTTAGGTTTACGGGCTTCTGGCTTAAGGTTTTAGAAGTCTTGTATACAAGTTCTATTTGGATTTGAGACTCTAAGCCCTAAATCTTAAACCCTAAACCATCCAAAACCCCTAAACCCTGGCTTCTGTTCGGCGTTCAGCGACCTAAGCTTGAAGGTCTAGAGGCTTGGGAGTTAAACTGTAATATGTAGGGTTTAGGGATTAAGGTTTAGGGTTTAGGGTTTAGGGTTTAGGTTAAGGGCTCACGGCTGCATTGAAAGCTCTTTCGAAAGGCAGCAGTGGGAGTAGCAGTAGCAGTAGCAGCAGCAGTACCAGTAGTAGTAGTAGTAGTAGTAGTAGTAGCAGCAGCAGCAGCAGCAGCAGCAGTACTAGTAGTAGTAGCAGCAAAAGTAGTAGTGGTAGTAATAATAGTAGTAGTAGCAGTAGTAGTAGCAGTAGTAGTAGTAGTAGTAGTAGTAGTAGTAGTGCTAGTAGCAGTGGTATATAGGAGTCTTTGTTGTTGCGATTGCTGTTGCTGTTGTTGTTGTGGTTGTTTTTGCTGCTGATGCTGCTGTTGTTGTAGAAAGTCGCAGTAGCAGCAGTAGCAGGAGCAGCAACAACGGCAGCAGCAGCAGCAGAAGCAGGAGCACGAAAGGTAGCCGTAGCAGAAATCACAGCAATAGTGTGAAGAGAACACTAATCACCACCGTCATAAGGGCATTGAAACTGTATGTTGGTGTTGCTTTCTGATAAAAGGCATATTGATAAACAGCTTCACATGCCACTTGTCATAACGAAGGCCCATGCGATCTTGCCTGGTCGAATTGTTGCAACCTCCTCGCCGAAGGTCAGTTTGACGACGGCAAGGCCGGACAGAAGCACATACCTGGGGCTTCACTTAGGGGTTTAGGGTTGAGGGGTTCAGGGTTATGGGATCTTCACAAAAGCATGACACTCAGTCATGGCGTTCAGTGCAGCGGCCACAGCAGATCAAGCAATGTGTAAACACAAGGAGAATGCAAAGCACTAGTAAGAGTGCTACAACATGACGTGGCTCTACTGCTAGGAATGGCTACGAACACTACAGGCACTCGTACACGTACTGGTACTCCCACGACCACCTACGATTTCTGCGACCACGACTGTGTGAAAATATTAACACTACTGCTGCACAGACGTCATGCTCGTTTAAACATGAGTTCTCCGGGGAAACACAGGCACAGTTCATTGCTCCGCCAAAAACCAATCCAGCGACACCGGATTCTACGGGGGGCAGCTTTTCTTGGAAGAGTGTTTGAGTCAGGTATTCAATGTCTGCGAGTCGCATCACCGTCTTGCCCACAGCACAGCTCTCGCCGCGGATGATGATGGTCTCGCTCGGCGCGTAGTACACCTACAAGTGAGCTCAAGTCTGAATCTTCTCGGGTCCAAAAGGCTCCTACCAAGGGACCACTGACAGAACAAGCGTACGCGAAGAAAGAAACAATCTAAACCACAACAAACTAAACCCACCAATGTGAGCCACAAACTTTACGCAAACAACGAAACCCCTTAACCCAACACTGTGAACTTGGAGGTTCATGGGTAGTTATAAGTGGAGTTATAAGTGGGGTAACCCTAACTAGGGGACTTATAGCCACATTTATAACTACACCCTAAACCCTAAACCCTATAGAACCCTTTAAAGGAACCCTTAAAAGAACCCCATAGCCCTAATTAGGGGGCTTATAACCCCACTTATACCTACCCATGAGCCTCCAAGAAGCCTGAATCCCTAGGCATGAGACCCTCGAGCTTAGAACCCTCAAAAGCAGCAACTCCCTCGTTTGCCCTTACTTGGAGGTTCGTGTTTTTGGGGTTTGGTTTAGGGTTTAGGGTTTAGGGCGCAGTTGGAGGTTCATGGGTAGTTATAAGTGGGGTTATAGGTCCCTGAATGTGGGTTATAAAACTATAGCTACCCTACTTATAATTCCACGTATAACTACCCATGAACCTCCAAGTACCCCGACCCTAGATTTTGAACCTTAGCTATTTAAACTTAAACTCTCAAACTGGAGATGGCATCTGCGCCACCATTTAAAGAACATCACTGCTAAGCCCGAAAGCTAAACGAGCCAACACCCTAAATCCTGAACTCTTAATTCTGTTCCGCAGACTAGCTTGCTTACTTATTTACTTACTTACTTACTTACTTACTTACTTCCTTACTTACTTACTTACTTACTTACTTACTTACTCAGTTACTTAGTTACTTAGTTAATGAGCTTAGTACTTACTTACTTGCTTGCCTGCTTACTTACTTGCTTATATACTCACTCACTCACTCACTCACTCACTCACTCACTCACTCACTCACTCACTCACTCACTCACTCACTCACTCACCCACGCACTCACTCACTCACTCACTCACTCACTCACTCACTCACTCACTCACTCACTCACACACTCACTCACTCACTCACTCACTCACTCACTCACTCACTCCGTCACTCCCTCGCTCGCTCGAGACATGTATTTGTGTATGTATGTCTACGCATATGTATATGTTTATGTATATGCCTATGTATACGCAATGCAGCGTCTGCTGATGTTGCCAAGCGGGAGCCAAAAACACACACCTACACAATGTATCGATGCACATAGCCGCTATAGCCGTAACAAATACGCATATACAGAAGTCTCTAAGTGCAAACATCATTGCAGGTGAACAACAACAGCTAAGTACAGAGATAAAATAATGCACCATAAGTGGTTAGGAAAGTTGATGCTCAAAAACCCAGGCCCCTTTGAGCAAGCAGGTGTGTGAAGAGATAGATGAGAAGGCAGGCGAGAACACTAGCACATACATGCATGCATGCATACTTACACTCGTACATGCATGAAATGTCTGCTAGCATGGATTCATGCATGGACGGATGCATGCATGCATGCATGCACGTACCTACATGTTTGCACAGACCCGCACGCTGTCTGCTTGTCTGGCTGTCTGTCTGTTTCCCCGTGTTCCAGCCAGCCAGGATGGATAGATGGATGGATGGATGTCTCTATGCATGCTATGTATGTATGTACTTATGCATGTACATCATGTATACAAGTACTAGCAGTCATGCACAAGTTCTGACATCAGGTTGACGGATTCGGGTTGAGTTTCGGGATTCCGCTTCTAACTCGGTGCACAGACGGCTGCGTGGGCCAACGTGGGCTCTCAGCTGTCCACATGACGGCATGAACTAGCTCTGTAAAACCATCCAGCAGCGTGCAATGCAGGTGGCCCACTGCCCACTACAGTTTGGTCCTTCGGACAGATTGTAATGTGTTGAGAAAGGCAACTAGGCACTTACATGATGGCCCTGTCGCCGTTTGCCTTTGGCCCTGCCCCGAATTCTTGCTCAGGCACAGACACCTCGCGGAGTCCAAGTGGAGCGTCGATACGGCCTGAAAGACAGCGAGGCCGAGTTGCTACGACTTCTGGTGAGGCCCCCAGCGTTTCGAAGCTGCTTGCATAAGCTAGCTAGGCTTCGCAGCTAGGTGCCAGTGGCCACAGCCCAGCACCCAGAGACAAGGTCATCCGCGAGTGTGCGCGGAGTCGCGTCGTTTGTCGCTTCCTTGGCGACCATTGCGGCAACTTGTCGGATGGGAACTCGCCTTTGTGTAGCCTTTGTCGAAATTCGCGGCTGGATGTGCAGGACAGCGAGGGCCTGAATGCAAGCCGTTTGGTCGCTGCGCTAAGTGCGGCCTGTCACTGTCATGCTGACTTTGCTTGAAGGACTTTCTACAAGAGAAGAGGCAGCACATTAACGAGGGCATTGTCCGTATCCAGGCTCTGGGTGTCCCCGCCTTTCCAGTTTATATTTAGAGTTGAACTTGTGGGTAGAGTTCATGTGCGTGCAATCACACCCGATTTACTGACATGTGCGATTTTAGCACACTAGCAGCAGACACAGCCTATCTTGGAGTTTCCGAGCGAAAGAAAGTATGTATGTATGTATGTATGTATGTATGTATGTATGTATGTACGCATGTACGAATACATAAACAAATAAATGAGAACGAAGCCAGAAGAAACAAACATGTCATGTTTAGATGCATGTGTACACATGTTGTAGACATAATTTCATGGTGTGTACGCATGTATGCATGCATGAAGCATGCATGGATGTACGTACGTATGTCAGTCAGTCAGTATGTATGTATGTATGTCTGTATGCATGCATGCATTCATGCATGCATGTAGGTATGTATCTTTGCACATTTGTATGTATGTGTGCATGTGTTTATGTGCGTATATATAGATATATCATATATCATATCATATCATATCATATATATATATATATATATGCGTATGTGTGAAGGTGCGTACGTTTTTACATGCTCGTATGCACGGATAAATTGCATCCCATCCGGTTGCCAGGATGGTGGCTATGGCGAGTCGAAGGAGCCCACGGTCTCGCCTGAGGCGGTGCATGCGCTGATGGGCAAGGACCTGCAAATCTTAGCTTTCACACCTCATACTCGGAATCGAACCATATTCTACCAGTATACACACACTCTTCCGAAGCCACACGCTCGCACGCAACACACGAACCTACGCACACAGACGTATGTCCATGTGCCAGAACATACGTACATAGGCTTTCAATGAGATTTCTCGCTTTTAATCTTGAGATTCGAGATTGTCAGATCCGTCGATTGCGATTTTCAGTGATTCGCTGAGGGTCGGCTTTGTCGTCTTGATTTGGCTGTGATTCTGCTGGGAGGCTCGTCCCCACATCACTGCCAAATCAAAGTCGAATCACAGCCAAACCGCAGCGGTATCACAGCCAAGGCTTAGAACCTAGCTCAGTTTTCGAGATGTTGTGCCATGTTGAATCGTATGCCATCTGTCTTTTGGAAGACGAGCAAATTTGCTGCCGGAGCTTTTGTGGCTTCAGGGGCTGGGGGGCTCATTGTGTTTTGCTGAGGGCGGTGTGGGGTTGTTCACATGTTTTGGTGCCTGCAAGAGGCTCATTCCTAGATGGAGCAGCGGTGCAGCACAGGAGCTCAGCACCGAGCAACGCCTGAAGCTAAGCTCTACGGTCATCGATGCTGTGCTGAGAGGCGGATCTGAGCCGGGTTCGGTTCGGATTCTGTCGCCCCGGAGAGCTTGAGGCATGTCTAGTGCCAGCCCGTGTTGTTAACCTGAATATTGCCTCCATCCCGGGTTCGCGGCAGCCTGGGAACACGTGATCTTGTCGGAATGTTAGGGTGCGAGGACGAAGGTTTCATCACCGCATCTCCGGTAATCATTTCTTTGTGGTTGGCTTGTGGGCCCCAGGAAGCAGTCTTGTCTGTAGCCTGGGCTGAGTTCCCTTCTATGACCCAGCCTCACATTTTTGAGGATGTCGGGTGCGGGTTCTCCAGACCCCAGTCTTTCCGGCATCTAGCTTGTAGCCATTGTAGCCTTCCCCAAAGAAGTGCTCCGCCAAATTGCGCCGCATGATGCTTATAACCAGTTAGTTTACTGGAGAAACCTCTCCGAGCAGGCGATTCTCCACCCGAGGAACCACGCCGGAGTCCGGATGCTCCTCCAGCTCCGATCCCGGAGCCGGCAGATCTGATTCCCGAGATCCCAAACGGGGCTGGCCAGGATGGCCAGGTGCAGGGCCCTGCGGGGTTTTGAGGGGCCCGACGAGCTAAGCTTCCGGAAAGAACACGTTTTTTGGTACGCGGGGTTTTCTACCGATCTTTCGTGGCAGGGCATCAGGGCCTCTGTGTTTCCCTGGCTGCACTACGTTGTGTGTTCCCTGCTGTCAGGAGGTCATTGCAACTGCATCGGAGAGCTTCGGTTGCATGGGACCTGCAGTTGTCTAATTCGAACAGCCATAGAGTCTATCCGAATCTGTCCTTCTTGTCTTGCTGTTGAAGGAATGCGCTATTTATTCAGATGCCAGCCGCTCCCCCTGTGCCGAAGCCAAGGACGGCCGCTGAGGACGACGCGGAATTGTTGCAGCAGCCCTACCGCGAGTCGCTGGACTACCTCAATGACCAGTTCAGCCTCCTCGAGTGCGAAATCCGCATCGCCGAACACAGGCGACAATCTACCAAGGAAGACGTGGGAATCGAGGACGCTTTCCATTGTGTGGCTTGTTGGAAGATGCCAAAGAAGGGCAAAGCCCTGCATGCAATTCCTGTGTCTAGAAACTCGGCTTCTGTCCAGGAGCCCTTTCTGCTCAGATCCCGCAAAGTCAATGTCTTTGAGCACGAGGCGAAAAGATGCTCGGACAGCAACTCATTAAGGCCACAGCGGCTCTACCCAGGTCTACATGAGAGACATGTCCTCCGAGTTGCGGCAGCAGGAGGTACCAGAACACACACACACACAGAAGGAGGCATGTATACATATATATATATATATATATACATACACACACACACACATATATAGTTATTATCTCTCCCCCTATCTCTCTCTCGCTCTTTCTCTCTCTCTCTCTCTCTTTCTCTGTCTCTTCGGTATGGCTTATATGTGTACATGTTTGGATATCTAGATATAGATGTGCACGTCGTGTTGAGCTGCTTGTATCCGCTGGATTCTTACAACGTCTAGTTCCAGAAAATATATGGGCATACGTATACTCACTCCCCACTACGGATAGTTACATAGATAGGATGAATAGTCTCACCCGAGACGTAGGTATATCGGTAGGTGGACGTTTGTACAGGTGTAGTGCTGGCTGTTAGAGTCATCAAATCAAAGCACCTCCTGCAAGAAACCACGAGTAATCAAAGCAGCGGGTACAAGGATGGATGCGATCTGTCGGTCGTGACACTATCCTGATTTCTCCTATGCTATGTTGTGATCTGACGCGTGTGGTCTCCCGAAAGCCACGAAGCCCTGAACCCCATGGCCTGTCGTGAGAGTCGTGCTGCAGATCTCGCAGCAGTCAGGCCATCTGAATTCTGGCCGTTTGTCAGAGACCTCATTTCCGATGCTCGATAATGCAGTCCAGTCTTATTCGGTACAGATATAGAACCCAGCCAGGAAAGCTGGCCCTGGCCCGCATCAGCCACCGTCTGAAGCTCACCAAAGAAGCAGGACTTGAAGTCCCGCGATTGGAGGTGCGGCAGAGCCTTGCCTTCTTGTCGGAGATCTGCCTTCTCTTGGGGATCAGGGTGTGAAGGTTTCATAACCTGAGCTGCATTTTAAGCTCGCCACTCGCCGTTCGCGTCAGTGAATTCGACCCGGCACGTCTTTTTGCGAAGAGGCTCTACATCAAAAGACCAAGTTGGACGATTTCGAAAAAAATGTAGTGCCTTCGCTGCAGCGCTGGCACCCTCGCACGTGAGTTGTTTATCGTCGAAGATTGAGGTGGTAATGCTGGTGGGAAACACCTTGTCGCCCAAGATCCAAGCCACACTAAATGTGGGGGAAAGGCGCTTTCTGGCAAACGCGCCTCTGCAGGCCAGCACTCCGACATGTGCGGATTCGGGGAGGGAGGCAGTATTCTGACCGGATGTGTTGAGATAACTGGCCCGAGACAGGTGAGGGTCATCCTGGAAACTTTCTGCCGTGACTTCAAGGAGGAGGTCCAGAAGCGCGTCTATTTTTACAAGAGCGGCCGGCTGGCCAGTGGCCAGGCTGCATCGGCGCTTGGAAACAAAGAGGGGGGACTCGCCCAGAACTGCGCAAACCCTAAACCCTAAACCCTAAACCCGAGTGTATCCGAGGCAGTGGCATCATCCGCATCGGTGCTGGGGCCAGGAGTGGAGATCTCACATGCCACACTGTCCACATAGACCGCCGCATCCTGGACTTTGTTGTCGGGCTAGACACCGAAGCTCGGCGGGCACGGGCATCTTGCAATGCAAGAGCTGCAGAGAGCTACATAGCTTCTCGTAGCTTATGCAGACTCTAGCCACCGAGAGAGTGCAGGCACAAGAGTAGCAGACATCAACGTAGCACTTACATCCATTGCATCCAGCTTGGGTATCGAAGGCTCGCGCAAGGCCCAACGACAGACGGCAGAAGTATCTACCATGAAGCATGTCCTGAAGCACCTTTGTGGCTGAGAAGGCTGCGAAATAAAGCATTGCGACGACGACGTCCGGGTTGGCCTGGAGTCATGAAAAGACCATGGCCTGAGCAAGGAATTAGGCGGAAGCTCCCCAAAAGATCACCCAACTCCTGTCTTAGCTAGAAAGCTCTGCAGCTAAGGAGATCAACGAAGTTGTGGAGGGAAGCAACTTGTACAAGCCCAGTGCAACGCTTCAGCAGCTGGTGCTGCCCGAAGACATGAAGAGCAACATCTTGGCTTTGGTGGACAATTTCGAGCAGCCCCTCGTCCCCATGTAGGAGCTGTGCAAGAGAGTGGTTAGTCTAGAGCTTGTGAGACCAATTTTGGCCTCCGTTAAGCTGAACTTGGGCAGTTGACGATGTCGGCACCTTGCAATCTCCACTGCTGGGAGGTTCTGCAAGTACAGAAAGTCCTCTGGTCTCGATGACGTCATTGCGCATGGGTCTCTTGCCTGAAGCTTCATACAATCCAAACCTTTTACGATAAGTTTAAGTGCATGGTGTAGATTAGACGGGTTTGACGGGAACGCAGAGACAGCTCAGTGTCACACCGACTCCAGACACGGACTCCGGCGTAGCGCTTGCGCGCAGGGGGGGTGGGGGGGGGGGGGG